TGTATCCTAAAAGAAGATTTTCGCAACAAAATTAATATGTAAAAAATTTGAACTTTTTAAGGCTAATTGGCTACCTACCTGTGCTAATTTTGCTTGAAACTCTGCTTCACTTATTCCGGATTGGATCTCAAAACCAGCCTGAGAGATATCATATTCAATATATTTATTATCATTAATCTTCGTTGGTTCTAATCAGAGAAGTTAAATTAATATCAAATTTGATTTTCAAAGATAAATGTATTTTATTAATGTCGATTTACCTTCTAAAAAGCGTTCTCCTAAACATGTATAACGAATCGGGACGCTATAACGCTTTTCATTATTTGAAGTCATGGCATTATTGATTTCTATTTGCAAATCGCATTATTAGTATGTAACGCTAACTAAATTTTATTCATCATCATTTTGATCATTTTGTTTACCTGATTCGCCAGAGTAGTATGACATTCTCTAGAATAAAAGTGATTTTTTTTTTTTTTTTAAATATCAATGATTAAATAATTAAAATTAAATCTTTTTGATTTGTGATTACCATGAATTCCTCTAACGTCATTCTTCGAGAAATATTTTTATCGAGCAATTTTCTTATAGCGTAACTAGCCGAATTATCACGAATATCACCAAGTGGCAAGTATTTTGCTGAAATCATTTCATTTTTTTCATCATCATGCTCTCGATTCCAATAATGATGTCCTGGTTAAGCAAAAAAAAAAAAAATTACTACGCCATTCAACAAACTTCGATAACAAAACTTCTATAAAAAAAAATTACCCGTTTCAAGATAGTATAAAACTAGCCCAAAAGAGAACATATCCATTGCAAAATTAGCTTCAATTTCAATTCCTTTATCGTATGCTTTTATAACTTCAGGAGCAGAATAATTTGTTATGAAGGTTACATAATTCGAACTACCAACAAAAGATGCATCGTCAAAATCAATCAATTTCCATCTTTCGCCGTCCTTCTCTTGAAAGTACATGATATTTTGTGGTGATATTTCATTATGTACTATTAAAGACCAAAGGGATTTCGTTAGGTTAATTTGCTGCGGCTCAATAGTATCGTTTTTAATAATTACCTATATTATGTTTGTTAAGTTCCGAAAGACCCAATACAATATCCTAATAATGTAAAAAGAATTGCGTAAATTTATCATATAATACCACGGAACACGATAGTTTAAACAATTTACCCTTATTATTCCACACTTTTCTTCATGTCTCTGGTTATAATCTTGATGACTCAAAAACGTTTCCAAGTCATATAGACCACATTCGCATACAACAATTAATCGTGATGGACAAAATGTTATCATTTGCATAATATTCTACATTTGGACAGAAAAATTTATTTAAAATGAAAAGGTTTCATGCATATGCAAGCGAATATATACAAACCTCTGCGTTTATTAATTTATTCAACATCTTTGACTCTCTTTCGAATACATCTTTCTCTTTGTAATATTTTATCACATAATGGACCTTTGGTTTATTCGTCTCATATGCTTTACACACATTAAAGTTTCTACCATAACTACAACTTCTTATAATTGTATATTGCTCTATTTAAATAAAAACTTAAAGTTAATTCGCTTTCACGTGATTATCATTTATTTGTTAAATATTGAATAGGTACCTCCACCTTCAAGCGTTAGGTTGTTAAATTCTGACATTGAATTATATGACATTTTATATTTTCATTCCTTTATTTTTTTTATAAAAAAAAAAAATAAAAAAAAAGATAAATAAATAAATTTATGGGAAAAAATAAAATTCCGTTTTATCTTTTATGTATCAAAATTTAGGTGACGCAGAGTTATTTATTGAATAATCAATTATAAAAGACTTGATATTTTTCCTCTGAATAAGAAGTTTTCTTTAAAATTTAAGGCAATGAGGTTTCACATTATAAAAAAAAATTTTCTATAAATTTTACTATTTTAAATTTCCTTTTCAAACACAATTGCTAAATCAACAGTCTTCAATCATTATTGTGATAAAGTGATATAAAAAGAGAAAATATGTCCTGCATAAATTCGCAGATAATCTTATTACTTAATAATAACAACATAATTTTGTCTAAATAATTTGTAGATTTCATGGGTCTTGAGGTGTTTCGAATTTCTTTATTTTCTTCCAAATTAGACAATTTTGAAAGACAAAACTTATGTGCTAGCTTAAATAGTATTCATAAAGTTACGATTGGGTACACAAATTTAAATAAATTGATTTACTAAAAAAAAAACCACAATTTTGAGTCTTCAAACCAACAGACCGATCACCAGAACATTAAAAAAAAAATCCCCCATAATTTTAGATTTTGATTGAAAGATTTCTTTTAAGATGCTAATAAAAACTATAGAAAGTAAATATTAATTAAAGGAAATATTATATCGAGATTTATTTAAGAATCCTTAATTTTGTATAATGAAATAAATCACGCACAATTTGGATACAAAATTTTATCTACAGATTTTTTTTTAAACTTCTTTTTGCTCAAAAAAAAAAAACACCTTTTGGAAAAACGTATTAAAGACATGACTCCTTAGTTTGTTAATATATATGTAATAATAACTTTTAAAGTTGATTCAAATTCCATATTTTTTAATAAATTCCTTGTGTTCGCAAACAAAAACAGTAACGTCCTAGAATAAAATAAATATGGTGTATTGAAAATAGTTAAATTTGAGATTTACGATGACTTTTCAAACTTTTTTTCCAGAACTATAACAAATATTGTAACCTTTTATTTTCTTGATCAAGTTTTTTTTGGAGAAAATATGTAAATTTAATAAACAATAATTTGCGAATGTTTTATGAATTAGAAAAGGTCAATTACCTATTGTGAAAGTTAGTTAATCCAGACAAACCCTCTATAAAGAAAAGGAGGAGTTTAGCAAAATTGATAAAGAATGGTTCTCAACCTTTCATTTATTGATTTTAGGGCTTGCAATGTATATTCTAAAAGAAATGAATTTTTCGCAACAAATTTAAAAAATTAACACTTTAACGTCTAACTTTGCTAATTTTCTCACACTTATCGAGCCTCTTAACATCCTGAGAGCTATATACCTGTATATCACATAATGAACTTTTGGCTTATACGTATCATTTGCTTTGCTACACAACTTTTTTATAATTGTATTTGCTTTATTTAAATAAATATACTGATTCGCGTTCATGACTTTTAATTTTTTTTTTAGAAAAAAAAAAAAAAATATTAAAAAGATTAATAATTTTAAGTAAAATCCATATTTTATGTAAATCAATCTTTCGCATAGATTAAATTCTCACCCTACACTATTTCTTAGTGGAAAAAAAAAATTAGATTCAATTCGTTGTAAAAACCTTATTTGGTTAGCCAACTTTGATTGTTTTTTCAGCCTTTTTACTCGAATTACATATGGTTGTAGTACTAAATTTATGATGCGTTAAAAAACTATTTGATAATGAACCATTTGAATAGTCCTTTTCAATAGTCACATATTATGATAACACAGAAATTATTTTTAGTTTTTAGAAATTGCTTAATTGTCAATAAAATTTACGGATCAGAACGATAAATAAAAAAAAAAAAAAGAAAACATTTAAATTCAAAATTACTAAGAACAGACAGAAGAATAAAATAAAATGCAAATCGATATAATTATTTAAGATCTTAGCTTTTCCTTTTTCTGAAAAAGTCTATTACTTTTATCTAGATAATGTAGATTAAGTGAAAAAGCAACAATTTGAAATATTATTCAAATTTGAAATAGAAAAGTTTACTATTCTTTTATTTACTCTAAAGCTTTAAAATTTTTGAAAAATAAAACTATTATTTGTCATGCAAATGTTCTTATCAAAAGGATTTATAGATTCCTTTATATAATTAGTATATTATATAAATCTCAATCAAACCTATCAGAAGTTCCTAGTAAACAAAATAAAAATGTATATTTTATAAATATATAATTTATCTTCAAATTATAATAAAAATATTTATTTAATTATAATATTAAATATTTAGTATTTATTTATAATGTCAAAGTATTTAAAATTCTGACTTATATTATAAAAATCAGTTTTGAAAAAAGTATTTATATATTAATAGACTTAGTTTATTCAATTTTTTTCAAAATTTATTTTTTTTTATTAAAAAATTTTTCAAGTTTAGATAAAACTAAACAAAGTAAATTCAATAAAAATATACAGTCAACACTCGTTATAGTAAAGCTCGTTATAGTAAATTTGGCTTATAATAAACTTTTTTATTCCTCCAGTTCACTTACTAATAAATCTTATTCGTTATAGTAAACTCACTAATAAATCTCAATATTAGATATAGTAACCTTTTTTAGAATTTTACTATAGAACATATATTATAAATTTATTCTTATTATAGTAAATATTACGTAAAATCATTAGATTTGGATTTGCAAATCATTTTTAAACATATGTAGTTAGTTTAATTTCCTTTTTTTAATGATAAATGTCTATTATTATGATACAACTTTTTTTCATTATTTTTTAAAATGCTACCCATTAGAAAAGGTAAAGAAAAAGAAGTAAAAAAAGCTAGTAAAAGAAAAAGTTTGTCGTTTGTGCAAAAAAAAGAATTATGTGAGTGAAAAAGGAATAATCTATTGTATAATCAAGAAGATTTTGCTAAAAATATGACATATCAAAACTGCAAGTTTTTAGGATACTAAAAGAAAAGGATAAATAGCTATATATTAATATTGTAAATAAAGAATTAAGTAATCAAAAAAGGGATAGAGGTGCAAAATTTTCAGAAATTGAATCTGCATTATATTTATAGATGCAGCAAGCATTAGCTTTAAATTTAACAATTACAGATGACATATTAAAGGCTAAAGCTTTAAATTTTGTGACTCAATTACAAATAACAACTTTTACTACTTCAGATGGATAGTTATCAAAGTTTAAAAAGTGTTATAATATAAGACAATTTTTTAAAGCTGGTGAAGTAAACAGTACATCGTTAGAAATATTAGAATCCTAATATTTGTTCAAAGTGGATTGAGACCAAGTTGTAGAGGCAGAAACATTTCTAAGAGTACAACTGTTTATGACATAATCTAATTTGTCTCTAAATTGTGTCCATTTCTTTGTATCTATCTTGTTATAATTAAAAAAGAATTTAGTAAAACAATTGCGACTATTGAGATTAATTTGTAAAAAGTTGAAACATTTAACGGTAGCAACATAATAATCAGAAATTTGTGAGTCAATAGGTAGTACATCAGCTTCAAGCATATTGAGCATCAGTTCAGGTATCATTCAAATATAATTAATTCTTGATGATGATTGATTACAATGAAAAGTTATAAATATGACCGATTAGCATCATGTAAATTGATAAAGGAATCGAAAAAGTTATAATAATTCAATGAATTAATAAACAAAATAGTGCAGGGTAAATTATTTTTTATTTGATCTATATCTGCATTAAAATTTCTAAAAAGAATGATGTGATAATCATTTTTAATAGCATCGTCAAGAAGATGCTTAATATATAATAGGACTTGCTTAATAAGTTTTTTTTTAGATTTGCCTGAGAGAATATATACGTTGATAACAATAAGTTTTTGTTTGTCAAAGAATTGTAACTTTATATAAATCAGTGATGGCAAATGACCAGATCATTTGACTATTTTGAAATGACCTTCAAATGACTTTCAAATGACTATGTCATTTTGGTCATTAAAAATAAGTCATT